CATGCTGGGACGTACATTATCATAATTGTCATTTCCAATCTTCAAAAACAAATGTGTATTAAGACAGTAGCTAAAATAGTCCTTCTGCTGAAAATCAGACAATCAAAATCATTTGTAATTAAGCACAGCGATATTCTAATTACAGATGATTCAAGCTACTCCATGCTGCTTACTGTCCCCCCTCTGCAACAATTAGAAAAGTATATGTCAGCTGTGATTTTTTCCTTTATTTCACTTTAAAGTGGCGCTGTGGGGGATTTATTCAAAAATAATGACATTTATTACTCTTCTCCGGAAGGACATTCATTCTCTCCTCAGCAGGAAAAATCTAAGTTTTAAGTGGCTGGTGTAAAGGTCTGAAGCAATTTGCATATCTGCACAACACCATAAAAAGTTTCCCTTGACAATGTAGCATTCACTGTGCACAAATTATAATTGTTACAGCATAAAAACAAAAATTGCTACTCAAGAAATCCTTTCTCTTACAGCCACATTGATGACTGCACATGGATACACATTATTTCGCATGATGAGCTGCAGTTGGCGGAGAACTAGTCACCTTGTGACTACATTGTCTCACATGTTTCACCTGATCATTATTCTGTAGGTGAGCGCCTGCCTAATAGGTACTTCCTTATAGCGTTGACTGCATTCTTCAAGTCTGTCACAATGGTGTTAGCTGTAAAAGCAGTGGAACAAGAACTTGTTTCAATGTCATTAATCCTAACTTGTTTGGACTCCTCATGTTGTCTCTCCCACACATCTCTTTTTCCTCTCTCAACACATACTACTGCTCTCACTCCCTCCGCCTCGCTAACATGTCGACAGCAGTTTGTTAGTAGGTATCAGTTTTCAGTGAGCGGGCTGAGAGGGAGAGAGGGATGTGGTAATCATCTCCATCTCCGGCTGCTTGGCAGCGTTCCCCTCGGCATTCTGGCAGACACTTGCCATTGAGCAGCTGTCAGGCAGAAAGGGTGTGGGATGTGGGCTCAAGCTACACAGGTCACGGTCATTTATTTCCAAAAGCCACTGAAGCTAAAACCTTAAGTGGCATTTGAGCTACCTGCACTGTCAGTTCTGACACTCACAACACTAACAAGGAGACCACCGGTAGAGAGTCAAACTCGATTATGCCTCCCTGGTGGATTTCCTTAATATAGCTTACCTACTGCCAGGCTTGTTTTTCTAACAGTCAGAAAGCACATGCTTTCAACATTATGAGAGTTGTTCTGAAGCGTGGAGTAAAATGTACTGCTCTATCTAAAGAGTTTAAACTAAATATATTTGACCCATTAATTAATATAACAGATACAACAAGTAAAAACAATCTATATAAAACTCTACTGCACAATGAGATAGAAAATGTCACTTAATGCATTTTAAAATAATTCAAAAGCTGTCCGCATCGTGTAGATGGTTAATATTGATAAAGGGAAGCTAATTATGCTGACATTTCTTAACTGTTTATTGCCTGACTTTCTAAAGAAACAGGCAAGAGGTGCAGGGGTGATCATTTAGGAGAAAGTTAGGTATTACGTTTCAGTCAAGAGAAGAAGCTGTTATTATATTTCTAATTATTGTTTTTGTGTAGTGTAATTCTGGTTGATGCGTTCTCCATTATGAGGCACAGAGGCTTTCTCATGCCACATAGTCCTGCACAGCTTTAATTCATTCTAAGTCATTGCCATCTCTGCCCTGTTATAAATAAAACTGGATGTAACGTATATTAATGGTAAAAGATGGTGTGCTGATTCATTGCGGGGTAAAAACAAAGTCAAATGAAAAAAAAAAATAAAAAATCAATTCCACTTCAAAAATCATTGTAATTTCTCAAAGATGGATTTTGTGTGCTACTCTCTTACGAGCCAGAATAACAGTCACGCTCTTCATCAAAACAATAATTCTGCATTAATTCAAGGCTGTCTTTAGTTCACAAACCAGAACCCCGTAGTTCACGCTGAATTATTTGGAAACATATCTAATCAGCCAAAAAAGAATCAAGTTCCACAGAAATGTTACAACTTTAAACACAACTGTATGGAAAAATAGTCTGACTTCCACGGCTGCGGCAAACAGAATTGTGCTTGATAAGTTGCAGGCTCTCACAACCTGGACCTGTGATCTTTACAGTGATACCCTCAAGTTCATAGCAACAAAAACACTCAATCACTCAGGGAGATCCTAAGTCTCTCTGTTGGCCAATTACTGTTTTTAAAATGCCTAGGGCACCCAGGAAACTTTGACTCCTGGAAATAAAGACCAATCTGAGAGAGAAACATTGCAGCTATTATAATCTTTATAATTCTGTAAATCACAAGTGATTTGTTTTGCCCCGTGGCTTGTTCTGATACATCCTTGCTGCTATTGCAAAGGGCACGGGGTGACTGCAATTGAGGAGAGCAAGCTTATTTTTACAACCAAGCTTGGAAAAAAAGAGATGCCTTTTTTATTCTTCTGTTTGAGTGCAGAAGGCAAAGATCTCCTCTGTGTCATAATTGCCTGAAGTTAGAGAGTAAAGGCTCTGGACTCCTGATGTTAGTGTGGGCCTTTCATCAGGGGGGTTTGGAGTCAGAGCTGCTTTAAAAGATCAGGCCCTCTGGAGGATCAGACTTTTTTATTTATTTATGTAATAAAGGCATTATAAAATCACCTATCTGCTGTTGCATTACATGTTTCCCTGGCTGATGTCATTGTTAAAGATTTACATTTCCGAAATTATTTCATATTTTTTTATCTTCAATACTAAGTATGCTATACTGATTAATTTTTGAGGATGTATTCCGAAATTAGCATGCTTATTCAAATAAAGTGGAAGCCAAAAGTGGTAGAGAGGATCATGCAATTATGAGTAAAATCACTCCAATTAAACACTGGCATGTTAACTTTTAGAGAGCACACACTCCACATAATATAATTACAAATTGGGATGAAAAATGGCAAAGAAAACACCAACATTATAGAATGAAGCATTTACAGATGATGGATTCTCAAAAAGCTCCTCTATCCTCCGGTGCTCAGGGTTAAGAATGGCACTCTTCTGCTGCTGCAACACTCTCCCCTCCCAACCGCACCGCTCCCCATTCAGTAGCGCAAGGCCCTCTGGTACTAGACAAGAGCCCTGACTGAGGAGGCTCTGATACTTCAGCCTCTGATCACCAGAGTATCCTTATACCGCCAAGTTGATGGACGAATGGGTCATAGAAGGGATGTCCAAACCATAAATCAGACCACAGGGGTGACAGCACACAAAATAGGTGAATTGTCCTTGGGTTCGCGATGCTGGCGGCATCCCTTGTGTCCCAGAGTCACACCACCCTTTTTATTATTTGGGAGCGAGTCAAACGGATGCCCCACAAGCCATTCGGCCCTCCCCCTTGTGTGTTTCCCCTAGTCTTAGAGCCTGGACCCTGCTATGAACTGTTTCCAGAGTCAGTTACTGGTGTAATTGAAAGTGCTTTGTCATCGCTTTCAGCCAAACACTGATGGATGTGAAGTTGAATGAGGTTTGGGTTTTAGTTATACGAGTGAGCCTGTGTGAGATTTATCACCAGAGGCTTAAGAGGCTACAAGGGACCATTAAAGCACCACCGCCGTCTACATCACAGTGAACCGTTCATTATTATTCATTAAAACAGAATGCCTTTAATATGTCTAGTTTCCCCGCCATGTGAAAAAAAAAAAAAAAAATGTACATACATGTTTTTGATGACTGTTGGAAAAACTGCTCTGTTGCCCAGTTTTTACAGTCTGGTGCAATTATATTTGGATTTTAAAAAGTGTATGCAACACATAAAAAAGTAAGCTGGCCTATGAATTCATAAGAAAATAATAAATAGTTCAGCACTTTTAAAAGTTTCAGCAAAATCAAAAGCTCCAGAAAGCCTCTTTTTATACCTTCATGTGGATTGTATTAATCTTTGTCCTCTACAGCTTTGCACTTTCAAAACTCACTATAGTGAACTGAATAATATTGATTCTCTAAATTTGAGGTCCGTTACGTTCAACATATACCCTTAATGTATATATAATTTAAACCCACCAGTGGTTACATCTTTGTATAATTAGGGTGGTCTATTGAAACCTATGAAACCATTTAATTTCAATTCTGAATCGACATCCACATGCAAAGCGTGGGAGGTGTGCTAGTTCTCATTGTCTCCCATTTATTATAGGCTGCCCTCAGCTGCCTGGGCTGTGAGGGCCTGGATCCTGGCTCACGTCCAGCTCGGCTCCGATCTGGGCCTCTTTGTGATTTGAGGAGTATAGAGCTTTGCTGGGCTGCTGTCCTAGAGCCATGTTGGAATGCAAGAGCAGTGGTGGAGGTGCAGAGGGAAGTGACCTGCACTGTGTGATGCGAGCAAGAGTACGGGGTAAGAGTTACACACTGAGGTTGGTTGGATTATAAATAAAGTAGCGTGCGGTTTCTGTGCTGCAGCCGGGAAATAGGAAAAGGTGAATGCCAGTGCTCACAGCGCAGCTGTAAATGGTGCCCTCTACTAACACTGGTTCAAGGCTGCCACGATAGCACAAATAAAGCAGATTTAACAAAAGAAAAGAAACAAATCCCAATTTCTGCATTTCTCAAACATTTTTGCGGTTCCATTCTGTATTTGTGAGTTTTCTAAATATTCTATCGTCAGATTAATGATTGCTGTTATCAATTTCTGCCATCTCATTAAATAATGTTCCATATTTCTGGGGTTAGTTGAGTCATGAGCGAAAGGAAGCACATGCTTGATTTTTTTTTTCTTTTGTGTGTGTTCTTTTGTTTGTGTCGGTTTCTTTATTAGATTTAGAAAAAACACATTTAAAAAAAAACCTAATAAAAGACAGATACATATTTTAATATATATCCAGATGTAATATTAGTCTTTACTTCAAACACAAATAAACAATATTTTTGGCAGCTTCTTCTGATGAAATTTGTGAATGTTCTGACATTGTACAAGAGTCAACCATGTGGACTGCTGACTGCGTGTTGAGGGATACTTGTGACTGACCTGTGATGCTTGTGTGCGTGCCGGTCATCTTGTGGTACAGAGGAGGTGCAGGAGGAACAAAAGATCAAGACTCTGCCAGAGGCACAAACACCTGGGAGGAGAGACAAAGGCAACTTCACTTGAACAGGAAACACAGTGTCCAGGATAAACAGTGCTCACCAAGGTGCATCAACAGTGTGAAACTTAATATGACTTCCAGGACATCCCCCCTGGAAGACTAAAAGTCCACAGGACCACAGTGTTACTGCTCCTATAGGTTTGTGCTTGTTTGGCACAAGTTTATCAGCACCAGCCTATTTGTTTATTTGAATTTCAGTAAAATACAGCGCAGGCGTAACATTTTATCGCTCACAGACTAAATTGACTCCCACATCTTCAATGTAGATGGCATTTTATACATTAAACATTTCATAATTCTAAGTGTGGATGAATCTTTTAAGAGAAAAAAAAATAGATATGCTGTTGCTTATGGGAAAATTAGCATGGTAAATGATCATTAACTCGCAGATGGTTGGGTATGGGGCATCGCTGTGGCTCCTTACAAACAATTGATTAACTTGTAAATTCCCATTGCCCAGCTGTTATTCAGGCTGTTTACCATAAATAAAGGAGAGGGACTAGAGAAAGGATCCAGATGCTTTGAGTGCTGCAGAAAGGCAATCTGTCATTGTTCTCAACTAACACTGATGGATGCTGCTTTGAATGGGGATTGGTTTTAGTTAACCATGACAAAGTGAGGGATGACACGCCATTGGTCACAAAGGTCTGGTCCAGCAACGCCTTAGCGGTTGCTTTTTTCAGCTGCCAATAAAGGGAAGAAGTTGTCGGGGCAGGCTTTCAGGTTTGTTTGTTTTGCTGTGTGTTCCTGTCGAATTTGAGAAATGGGAAAATGAACAAAACGTCCGTAAAGACCTTCCCAAGGTGGAAGCCAGTATTATTTAAGCATGATATACTTCCGTTCCACTCTCAAACAAGACTCATTTTTGAACATGTATAATACTTGGAAAAGAGTCTGATTCCACTGGGGTCACCATGGCTCACATTGGACTAATGAGAAATCCTCTTTACATGCTTACTTGATGCTTCAGTCAAAGTTGTTGAGTATGGCTCATTCCACAGGAACAGTGCTGATCACTGTATCCAATAATTACTGAAAATATTCCAATGCAACTACAGTGTGTACATGAACTAGGAGCACCGTTTAGTAATTTGCTGAATTACCTAGCTATACGACATACCATGGCAGGAAACCAAACCAAAAGTTTTGACATCAGGTTAAAACATTAAATGCAGAGTCAGACATCCAAGTTTGGTTACACAGCATGATATAAATGTAAAGGCATGATGCGTTTTGGGGATATTGCGGTCAGTGAACAGGAGCATGGGAAGAAAAATCCAGTCTCAACCAGACTTCAGTGTGTCAGATTCGGAATGGTCCAGTAAACCCTGCTTCTCTTTGACCCAAAAATAACTAAGGGTGATGTAAAATGCATACGGGCTGCTCCTCCAGCTGCAGAAGATCACATCCATGTTCTCAGCAATCGATGATATCAGAGATCTGGAAGGAACAAAACAAGCCTTCATGCTGCAGACTCCAGAAGAGAGCTAGTTTCCCAGATGTGAGGGGGGGGGGGGGGCTACAGAGTACCACTGAGGGACACTTTAAGTCAAGACTTCTGCAAAACTCATCACTCATTGTCAAATATGGTTGAGGTGAAAATCCACCCTCAAACATCCACCCCTTTCATCTTCCATCATTGAACGTTTACTTTTCCGCACATAAGACAGCTATCCCATGAGCAAAATGAGAGGCACGATTCCAAGATGTCAGGGTTCTTGTTAAAACCAGTCAAAAGGAGTCCCCTCCTCACACACACACACACACACACACACACACACACACACACAACCATCCTCGAATACAGTCAGATACGATTATACAGGTGCTCTTCGGAAGAAGGTCTCAAGGCAATAAAGATATACAATTCAACATTTTTATAAATGTGAACTCAGAGCAAACAACTTCAAAAGCAGTGCCTCACAGAATAAGCCTTTCACATAGTACACACAGTAACTTAGTACAATACAGTAAAAACATATTGTTGCTGCCCATTGAAAATTATGCATTTCTAAGTTTTGTGATTAACTTTAGTATTACGAGTTCCTTTATGAGTTGAGGAAATGCTCCTATTAATTCCAATGAATAAACAATTGTAAAACCCAATAGAAAATATGAAAACTGCATAGTTTAAAAATTCATGTTTTTAATAAATTAAAAGGGCTACGACCCGCAAACACCATCACAACTTAACTATTGCCCCGTTCAACCTGCACAAACATCAGCAACATCGTTCAATTTGCATTCAATAACGCATCAACAATCCTTTATGACTGCAGTTTAATGTGATGACTGTTGCTGCACCAATAACAAGTCCTATAATCATTGTCTAATCACCCACTGTAAAGCATACATATACCATACAGAGATCACCAAAAGGCACAGGCCGGCTCAGTGTAGAGCAATATCCATCTCTCTCACACATATGCACGCTTAGACACACACTATGCTGTGTGAATGGAGAACCTCCTTCTTTACAAGAATCAGTCGCCTCTCACTCATCACTCAGTCAGCCAGGGATCTATACATACATACATATAAATGTATTTATACGCGTATTTACACTCGGAGCATTCAGTTGCACGCCCAGTAGCACTAATATCACCTTTTTCCAAAACACAAAGCAAACATCCATTTTTTTTTTGTCATCAGTTGCCTAGCAACAAAAACAAAGTAACTCACAAATGTCACAGCTACATCCCGAATCTCATGACGCAATCAGATTTAATCATTTTTATACATAGCTCCCAAGAGACACATACAGTATTAACCTGGAGATAAACTCCCTTCTTCTGAGAAGATGCACTACTTCACACAGCAAAGACCGTTTAATGAATGATTGTTGTTGTTAAGACCCTCGGATAGGAATGACATTGATAAAATAAATTCTATCACATGACAGCAACTGAGTGATCGGGTTTACACGTTTGCTTCCTGTAAAGCTCAAAACAGCATCACGCAACGTCTGGAAAAACACCCTTCTGAGTGTTCTCCATTTGGTAAATGTCTGAGGCAAACTGCTCAATAAGAAACAATTATGGGCGGGATGCATTAGGAATAATGTACTGTATATGATGAACAGCACAAGGAAAACCCATCAACAGTTGAATCTCGATATGCATCGGCTAGACACACTTTAAATAACTTATTGTGTGCAAGAGTGAAGTGAAGTTCCACGAACAAACTTACTATAGGAAAGTGATTATGGTCCAGATACAGGTGTTACTCGGGATTTTGCCATTTGATTTTAGATATTTACGTAGCCTATATCACAAATTACACATTTGCCTCATACAATCTACACCACATACGACATCCTCCATCCTTAGAGCCGTGATTCGGATGAGGAAAAAGCCCGATGATGTTTCTCTTTGGGCAGGTAATTTGCAGTTGCCTTTGCCAGAATGGTTTCGTATGGGAGAGTTGGTGATAAGCAACGATAGAGTAAATACAGACCAAATGCTTTGCTAAAACTCCTCATAATGGAGGGATCTATAAAGTTAGGCGATGATTCTCAGTGGGTTTAGCAATAGCAACCTGTTCACATTACATGTAGAGTTGATTTAAAATAAAGATATTTGAGCTTCACTTTGTTTGGAAAACACAAAAAACAAAAAGCTACCTAAATTCAAGCTGATTTACTGAAGACAGTCTCAATCCACAGATCGAGAGAAAAGATGATGGAGTCATTAAAATCACCTTAAGAATATGAATGTGCACTACATTCTGTGGACTACATGATACAGTATTTTGGGGACAATATATGATTTGGCATTTTGACCTGAACGTGGCGCTAGACAGAAGCTTACACGGTGTCCAAAATGAAAAGGTTCTTCTCCTATGGGGAGCCAAAAATTGTCCGAAAAACATTGAAATTTACCGATTTATGACTAAACATACCAAATTTCATGGCAATCCCACATATGGTTGAGATATCTGCTCTGGACCACAGTGCTGGATGGAACTTTAAACAGACAATATCCTGTACAGACCATTTTGTAATGATGTTGTGATGTTTCATATGCCGTCTACTGCACTTAAAAGGTCATCGTTATTGCATGTGTGCGATATCTTAGGGAAGAAAAATAATTGACTCATCTACTGAACAGCATCATCCATTTATGTCCACCTTAATGTATCTTGTATTTATTTAAACATTACATATGTCACATTTCATAAACTATGTCTAATATATGAGAGAAGCAACACAAAAAACATAACATAACTCCTTATTGTGCCGACCTTTCCAGCTGTCACAGACTGGGCGTTTTAATTGTGGAGAACCAGTACGATTCCAGTCATGTGATTCCAGTCGAGTCATGTTCTTGTTGATGTTGCTTTTAGTTCTCTAATGTGAGTCCATGCGGCCAGACTGCTCCCAGACTTGACCGCTGGCTGAAGCCAATTGTCTGAATTAGGCAGCAGAACACAAGACTCCCCACTTGGAAAAAGGAGGAGAAAACAGTGGAGGAGTTTCAGCAGTCAGCCCTCAGACAGGAAGACTCTAGAGGAAACACCAGAAAGCCATTAACTAACCACAGTATTATGGTGATCTATTTGCTGGAATGGGCTACAGACAGCTAATGAACAAGCCTTACCCCCTCCCCCCCTCCTTCTCAACCCACCACCCATCACACACATATTGCGCACACACACACACACACACACACACACACGCACACACACTGAAAAGCAACACACACCGATAAGCAATGCTGAAAGAGCTCTTGCTTGTACAAAACAGCGTGACAGATCAATGCCTGATTCCTAAATCAAGGGAAAAGGTTATTCTCTGTCTCACTGGGATTCCACTTACTATCCCCCTATATCTAAGACACTCCCATACCCATTTAAACCAAACAAGTCCAACCCCCCCCCCTAAACAAAGCACCCACATCTCCTAATTAAGAGTGAGGCGGTGGGGCTTTTTGTGTCTGTGGCTATGCTTGCAATGTTAGTGTCTGGAGTGTGAA